TAAGATAAATATATATACATAAAATATTTTAAAATAAAATTTTATTTTTATTTTTATATAAAATAATTTAAAATATGCATGAAAAATAATAGCATAACCAACATAATTTTAAGAAACCTTTAAATTTTAAATCTTGAATTAATAAAAAAGAAAATAACGCCATGGGCCTAGTTCACGCCCACTTAATTCCTTTCCTTAATCTCTCCCAAAGCCCACTAGACTTTCCACGTGCAGGACCTCAAACCCACACACTTGTCCACTCATACCCAAGAAATTAACACGTGTCCCGTCACCTTCCCCCCTAAAACCCCAGCAGGAAAAAAAAAACAAAACCCTAATTTCAAAATAAATTCCAATCAATGACGATTTACAGATCCATAAAATCCCTAATTTCAAAAACCCCCAATTCAAACAAATCCAGATCTTTCTTTACAACAAATTCCACTATAATCCAATCACCATTCGCTCCTATACATTACTACTACCACTACCCCCCTTCTTCTCCTCCTCCTCCTCCTAATCGATTCCTCTCTAAATGGATATTCCTAAACGCACCGTTTCAAGGCCCTCTCTTTCTCTCTTCTCCTCCGTGGAAGCTTTTGCAGTCTTCGGCACCGCTTTATCTACGTGGAAACGCTATTGTTTTGAGGAAAGTCGAGGCCTTTAATTTGCGTTTGTTAAAAAGTCGGGTCGGATCGGGTTATGTGGGTCAAGGCGTGTTGTCGGATCGGGTTGACCTGGTGAAGGAGGAGGAAGTGGGTGACGGTGGTGATAAAGATGGGATTTTGGAGAGTTTTGTTAATTTGCCTAATTTTATCTCTGTTAGCCGTTTGGTCTCTGGGCCTTTAATTGGATGGTATTTTTCTAATTTTTAAATTTCTTCAATTACACACACACACACACACACACACACACTATGTTTATGGTCTGTTTGGTTACTGAGAAAATGAGAGAAGTGAATGGGAAAAAGTTGGGATTATCTTCAATTTTGAAGTTTTTGAGTGATGTCACTGTGGTTAAATTTTTATTAAATTTTGAGGGTTTTTATGACTGATTAATTTATGTCAATGCAAAAAATGTGCTTTTTTATTATTAATTTGGATATTTTTAGTTGTTATAAATTTAAAAGAATGATCTTTCATTCTAATTATGTATTCAAAGTTGGGAGTTATAGCTTGTTAACAATTATGAATACAAAATTGTTTGTTTAATGCAAAAGAAGTAAATTTTATTGGTATTATATGGGGAAATGAATGCTAATGCTAAATGATCCGGATGAGCGTCGTTTATGTAACCTAGTAACTGTTTTTTATGTTTGGATTTCAATTCTCCGTGTTTCTGTTGTGTGGATGTTTTGTTATTTCAGGATTATGCATTTTGTTTGTTATGATCTGGATTAGAGGGGTGATTAATTAATGGTTTTTGTGCAGGATGATTACAAATGACATGTATTCTTCTGCATTTGTGGCGTTGGCTATTGCTGGTGCAAGTGACTGGGTAATATTATCATGACAATTCGTTTTGCATTTTTTTTTTCAAAATAAAAAATTGAAAATTTAATATGTTGTTCTTTCTTAAAACCTGTAGCTAGATGGGTATGTCGCTAGGAAGATGAGAATTGATTCTGTTGTGGGTTCCTATCTTGATCCTCTTGCTGATAAGGTAGAGTGAATGCTTCATCTTCTTCAAAGCTTTAGTGTTGATAGTTGATAGCTAGTCACAGTTTGTAGTTGGAGTTTATTATAATCTGCTAGGGGCTAATTCCGTTAAACTTATTTCTTTGCTTAACATAGGTTCTTATCGGATCTGTTGCATTGGCAATGGTACATATGGATCTTCTACACCGTATGTTGTCTTAATTTTAACCATATTTTGTAGAACTTGGAATTTATATGCAGATTGATAGTAAATGTGGTTGATGTATGGTTGTACGACTTATGTTATACTCTATGCCTTGTGAAGCTGGACTTGTCGGACTGGTAGTGTTGCGAGATGTTGCACTTGTCTGTGGAGCAGTTTATCATAGATCTAGTAGCTTGGGTTGGAAGGTTGGTTGACTGACTGGTCATTTGTCCCTTTTTGTATTATTTTTTGCTTTAACCTGGTTATTTACTCCTTGGCCTAAAATTTTGCTTGATATTTTCTAATTTCTTCTTCTAGTGGACTAGTTGGTATGACTTCTTCAATCTTGATGGAACCCGCCCAGAGAAGGTTGAGCCTCTCTTCATAAGTAAGGTATGGTTTGTAATTTTCAATTTGATTTGTCATGGCACCTGGAATATGGTTTAAATATAAGTTTCTTTGATCCATTATTTTTTATTTTTATAGCCATAAGATGATTTTAGTTGAACACTGAGTGTGGGTGATTGGAGAAATCCTTTGTGTATTTTTTAGATGATGTGGTGATTTTTGCATTGAATCATTGAAACGAGGAACATTTTGAAGCAAAAGGTATGGTAAAGAATGAGGTCTCACTATACTATTACCCTGTATGAATTTAACTATCCTAGAGTAGATGCGTTATAGGAAATGTGTGAAGCTCTTGAAAGCCTGAAGGAAACTGGTGGCAGTAGAGGAAGGGAAGAGGATGGGAAGCGCTGCCTGCTATGATAATTACCTTTCAATTATGCCAAAATACTTTGTACTTAAAATCTGTTCTGATAATGATGTTAACAAGCATTAGCAGCTATTTTTCCAGAATTGAACATTGTTCTTGGTCAAGAAGAAGAAAAAATCTGGACATTTTGTTTTGCTTGAGCACGTAATGGATTTCATTTTGGTTAAAACCTTTTTGTTTCCACTAAGGAGTCGTCCTGGTTATTGACAGGTAAATACAGTTTTCCAGCTGGTTTTAGTTGCTGCAGCTCTCATTCAACCAGAGTTTGGAACCCAGGAAACTCTACCTTACATAACATACTTGAGGTAATCCAGTCAACTTTTAATTCTGTATTGTTTCTGCTCAACTACTGCAATAAATTATCATACATGACCTATTGTTCGCTACAATTTGATGCAGTTGGTTAGTGGCTGGCACAACAGTGGCTTCTACTGCTGCATATGGAGCAAAATACACGAGGAATAGACCTGCATTGCTTGCAAGGAAATCATAGTTTTTGTTTTCACTGTTCTAACCTGACAGTCGAGGAATGACCTTGAATTTGAGTTACCAAGCTGGTGCTGGCATTTGAAGCTTTTCAAGACATACAAATGATATTCAGGGTCATCATTCCATGGTTGCAGAAGAAAAGAAAGAGGTTAATCAGGGCCTTTTCAAAGTCATATCCGATATGCCCCTATGGTATAGATGAGCTGTGGTTTCTCCTACAGTTGCGATTGGCAATGCTGTGAGTTTGGGGAGATATCAGCTTGTGAAGCAGTGGAAAATGGAAATGGTTCTGCTGATGAATATGTCAGCATGTAAATTATTTGATATAGAGAAGTTGTGATGGAACAAGAAAAGGAAAGATTTTGTTAAATCAAGATGTAATAATGGAAATTCTTTTCATCTACTTTGTGTATTTTGTTCAAGCTTCTGTTGCCACCCAAGTTTCTTTGGACAAAACTCATACTTTTGAGGGATCAATCTACAGAAAGGATGTTAATCTCCTGGACTGATATGGTAGAAACATCAGGCTAAGTTATGATGACATTACAAGCAGGTGGTGATTGAATAATTGATCAATTCTGGCTTTTTCAGGAGGAGGGCGGCGATGGCAGCACTGTCTAGGACAAAAGAAGGGTTGATACAAGCACTCTAATGACATGATCTAAAGCCAGTGAAGACAAAAACATTCTCGGTAATATCCAGCTGAATCCAGACGGTAGACAGATAGGGATTTGGATGCATCCTCCAAGGATCAATGAATCTTGTAACGCGAAGCCAAAATCAGTGAAAAGGGTATTACAGTGTCCTCAAAGTTACTTGGAAATATCTGCATGTTGTCGCAAGAAGAGTGCACCTCTTCTCATATCCAAGCCTAGAGCTTCCATAGTTATCAACCTTACCCTGTCACGAAACGACATCATTTGAAAAATAAAAACCTTAGATTTGATCTGGCCAAATGTCATTAGTTTAGCCATATCAATTGAAATCTTTAAAGTAATTTGAATTTAAACTCAACTCAGGACAGGTTTAGGATAAGTTCGAGATCAACACATTATTATATGTTTGAGTCTTATTCTTAAATTGTTTGTAAATTTTTACTTATTATATGTTGGAAATAACAAGATGGTTGATGGTATTCAAAAGAAAAAGAAAAGAAAAGAACAACAAACTAGATGAGTTGTGATCTAAATAATGAAGATGTTCTGTTGTTTATATAAATAAAAACTCAATATTCAGTGTGCAGAATAATCTTATGGTTTCAACAAGACATGTCAGTGTGTGTGTGTTAATATATTGAGATGCTATATCAATATATCTATTTGTACGACAAATAACATATTAAGTTAGATAAGTTATTTTTTAAAATATTTTTAGTTTTAAAATATATTAAAATAATAATTATTTTATTTTTAAAAAATAATTTTAAATATAAAAAAATTTAAATTTTTTTTTAAATTATTAAAAAATTATACAATCATAATACTAAATAAATTAAAATTATTATTATCATAGTCATCATCATTATATCTTTAAAACTATTATTTCAAAATATTATATGCAATTTATGATAAAAACACTTCATTTTAATTTTTAAGTCTCCTATTATGATTTTTTTTAACATCAAATATTTTTTAATTTTGGATTATGAGGATTAAGTTAAAAATTAAATGTTATTTAATATGATTAAATCCCATTTCCCTGTTATGATGGATGAGGATAATAAAATCCTATTAGTGATCCATCGATTTTTTTATTAAAAAAAAAAACCTACCAAAATTTCATAAACTCAGAAAAAAAAGAAGAGAAAACACTTTAATTGGGTCGTGAAACCCACTCGCTTTCTAACTGTCCTATGAGAGTCACATCAATCAAGCAACGAACTTCATCTTCATACATTATTATAGCCACCCTCTCCTAATATTGTAGTTTTCACCTTTTCTTTGGTTTTTCCAGAAATCGATATACTTTCAATAATCGATCTTTAAAACCAACTTATTCATTAGAAAATCGTTATTTCTCATCTGGGTCTCAAAAATCTTCAGCTGAAACATCATATAATAAGATAATCTTATTCTTAGAGGTTACTTGTATAATTATTGATTATTAATTAGTACTATTATAAAAGTATTATGGCTCAAGCAGTGGAGGATTGGTATAAGCAGATGCCAATAATCACTCGCTCTTATGTCACTGCTGCTGTTGTTACCACCATTGGTTGCTCTCTTGATGTATGCCTACCTTCTCTCACTTTTTCATTTTTTTATGTTTTGTTTTTTTTTTATTTGTTAATTTTGGTTCTGATAAAATGGGTTTTCTTGTTTTTTTTATAATTTCAAATGGGTTTGAAATTAAATTCCTGAATGGTAGCTTCTTCTTGTTTTTTTTCTTTGATTTTCAATGTGGGTTTTGTGTTTTTGCAAAAATTAAACATTTTTCGAGTTATTCCTTTTAATTTTTGTTGATGGGTTTTATTTTATTTTTTTATGATTTCAACTGGGTTTCTTTCAATTCTGTGATTAGTAGCTTTTCCCTTTTGATTTTCAATGTGAATATTGTGTGTTATTTTTTATTCTTAATTTTTGAAGGATGTTAAAATAATTAGTTTGGATTATTGTAGGTTGTGTTCGCTCTTGCTTTTGTTATTCACATCAATGACTAGGCTTAGGGAGTTAGATTGGTTCATTCTGGTTTTATTTTTATCCTGACATTTGTGATTTCGATGGTTTTGTAAAGGTGAAGGGACTGATTTATTTACTTTTGGTTTGATTGTTTTGTGCAGATAATATCTCCGTCTAACCTTTACTTGAACCCCAGACTTGTGATGAAGAATTATGAGTTCTGGCGCCTCGTCACTAATTTCCTTTACTTCCGTAAAATGGGTGAGTTTTCATCTGAGTTTAATGGTGTTTACATATCAGAAATTTATGGAAGCTGTCAACTTTATTGTATGTGTTGAGTCATTCGTGTGCGCTGTGAATATGGGAGGCTTTCTAGCTTTGTCTAGCTCCATTGACAATCTGTGAACAGGTTCCTAGGTGTAGAGAAATATTTGCTCTCACTTTGCATCGCTATTATAAGAATGCTGTGAATTTGGATTTTCATATCTACATATCTATAAAAAAAAGATGTAGATGTATTGTGAATAGAAGAGTTATTGTAAACTTTGGTTGAACAAGGTCATTGTAAGCATGGCCGTGTTTTTCCTGGTGAAATTTATGACATTTGCACCTCTTACAGCATCTGATGTCCAAGTTCTAACTGCCTATCTTCTTTGAGCAAAAATTAGCATTCAAGAGAAGATACTTCATTGAAATGCTTTTGATTCTTGGTTTCCAGTCTGAGTCTTGATCAGTTTAGGAAAAGGAATTATTAAATTGTAGCTGTTATCCTCCTACAAAGAAAACCTGAGTTGTTATGCGTTAGGCATTTAATTCCTAAAATTGAATCGAGCACTTCTAATATACTACGCTAAACTGCTGTTTCATGTCTGATCTAGCCTGTTCGCTTAGTTGATTACACTTGACTTCATGAATTTTTCTCTGTGAAAGATCTTACATCTTGAGATGCTTTTTAGTTGAAAGTTCTGTCTTCTTATTTCTGTTTGTCAAATTCCTTGGTCACAATAAAGATTGGATTATAAGTTCTGACTACATATGATATACTTGTGTGATAGAGTTATTTCTTTGTCATCTATGTGTCATTCTTAATGTTCTTCTTCATGATACCAGACTTGGACTTTATGTTCCACATGTTCTTTCTTGCTCGATATTGCAAACTTCTTGAAGAGAACTCTTTTAGGGGAAGGACTGCAGATTTCTTTTACATGCTCTTGTTTGGTGCCACTGTTTTGACTAGCATTGTCATAGTTGGAGGAAACATACCCTATCTGTCAGAATCGTTTGCAAAAATCATATTCCTGAGCAATTCATTGACATTCATGATGGTTAGTTACTTTCTTCTTGTTTGCATTCAAATATCTTTTGTATTAACTCCTTTTTGAGCGAGCTTTATCAGTTTTTTTTGTCTTTTTCATCCATACAGGTTTATGTTTGGAGCAAGCAAAATCCTTTTATCCACATGAGTTTCTTGGGCATCTTTACTTTCACAGCAGCTTACCTTCCATGGGTGAGTCAGCTTCTACCGATGCTGCATGTGATATTTTTTTAACCTAGTCATATAATTCTGTCTCATAATGATGACATGTATTTCTGCCTGCCATACATTTGTATATCTTGTTTCCTTCAGGTTCTCTTGGGATTCTCTGTCCTTGTTGGTGCCAGTGCTTGGGTGGATCTACTGGTGTGTTTTCTGTGCTAAATATTCTTTTTAATTCCATTTTTGGGCTTTTTATATTAAATGCATGTTAGCAAATTCTTGACCATGTGTGCCGGGGAAGTATGCTAGTGGCTATAGTAAAGTTTGCATGATTGGAACTTTATTGTAGTTTTTGTTTCAACAAACCCTAGATGTTCTGTCACTAGCATTCAAGTTTCGCAGAAACCTGAATACTGATTAGGAGCACCTCACCTGACATGTCCCCATCATTACACAAAAAATGAAAAGAAAAGGGAAACACTAATACTGATCATAATTTTGTGCTGTTTGCTGAAACAAGGCATGTTGTGTCACTATAATTTCAGTCATCTTTCACTTGTTGATTGCTTGATGTAGTGAGGGATCAGGGGCTTCCACGTTGATCCAGTCATGTTAAACTTACAAGGTCGAGGAGTATTTTTGAACACTAATCTAGTTGTGAAATATTTTTGAACTCTAATCTAGACGTGGAGCTATTAGAACGTATGGCTACTCTAGGATTATATTATGCCATGTAAAGCTCCTCCCGACTTTGATGTCACATTACATTTGCCTTTAATCTGGCTGCTTTTGTCATATAAATCTCTTGATTTCCTTTGTTTAATCATAGCTTCTTCTGATTCAGGGGATGATAGCGGGTCATGCTTACTACTTTCTTGAAGATGTATATCCACGGATGACAGGTCGTCGGCCCCTACGAACACCAGGATTCATCAAATCACTGTTTGCAGATGAGGCTGTTGTGGTGGCACGGCCAGTAAACGTCAGATTTGCCCCTCCACCTGCAGAGGAACTTCACCAAGATTGATCAGGTACACAGAAATTACAGGGTGATGAGTGGTGGCCTGCCCTTAAAAGTAGATGGAAGTATGGTTGGACGTGGTTCTTCATGTGAGACACGTCTTCAATTCAGACATTAACTATGTAAATGACACTGCTTCTAGCTAATTAATATAGTATTTTTTTTCTTTTGTGCATTTCATGATTCATGATCATTTATCATAGAAGTGATCGTACATTTCCTGGTTCAATTAAACTTTTGGTATCCAGTGGGATAATGGGTTGTATTAATTTTTTTCTTGCACAAAAAAGATATTCAAATATTAAAATATTGAGGTTGTAATATATTGGGTTATGATTTTTAAAAATCTACACCATAGCATATTAAATCAATACAAGTTAATTGGGTTAACTCATTAAATTTCTGATGTACATAATGAAGACTGATAATTTTATGAAAGAGCAAATTGACATAAATTTTAATTATCCCTTGGCTCGATCCTTACTGGGGTATTAAAGCTCTTGACATCAGTTCTCTCTATCATTTCAGCATTCATGCATATCTCTTCAACTCTCTTTTCCTCCAACAAAATCTCTCTAAACCCTTCCTCTGATTTCTCCTCTCTCAATTCAACTCCTTTGCAATGCATCTCGGGTTTTTTGATGGCATTGACAATGGTTAAGCATGAGGTGGAGACCCATCTGGGTTTTTCAATTCCAGAGGCAAAAGATCCTAGGGTATGTTGTAATGCCTTTTTAAAGTTGACCCATCTCGGATTTAAGCCTCGGTTCTGACCTTGGTTCGTCTGCTGCACTTTGTGTTGCATTCTGGGCGGCTCTTCTTGCCACTCCGTTCTGGCCTTGGTTCATATGTTGCTCTTTGTGTTGCATTCTTAGCAGCTACTATTGCTTGCTCAGACCCTATGAATTTGGACATGAAATAAGGGTGGTTAATTTTTGGCGAGTCTTGGGTTTCCAAATCGACAAAATTATTCCATCCGGGTAGAAATTGGTGCTCGAAAGATGGTGATGGCGGCCGCATGGACGGAGGCATTGAAGAAACTAATTTGATGATTTTATGGTTTGTGAAATGGGAAAGAAATGGTATTTTTAGGTGGGTTGAAAAGGTATAGGGATACGTCGTTTGTTCACTTTTTATATATATATTATACGATAGTAGTTTGGCTTTTTTTAATTTAAAAATTAAGGAGACACAATAAATAAATAAACTGTAATTCCTAAAAAAATAAAAATAAAATGAAAAAATAACTAAATTATAGTAAGATGAAAGTGATTTTCTCAAAAAAAAAAAAAAAAGATAAAACGTGTGCTCACCTAACCCATTAAAAAAGCTTAGCTCATGTGTCATGCTTTTTTTTTTTTTTTCTTAAATATTTGAGGGCAAACCATGTGTCATTCACCTTTATTTAAGAGAAAAATGATGTTGGTAAACTCATCGTATGCAATCCTATATTTTGGTGACCAGAGGGTAAACTCTTTCATGATTTCAACAAGTAAAAAATTAATTTAAAAAAAAACTTAAATTTAAAAAATTTCTCAATATTAAATCTATTTTAATATCTATTTTCTTAAACAATAAAAAGAGTAAAAATTATCATAATAAAATTCATCTTATCAAATAAAACTCATTAATATCAAAATCAAATATTCAGACATGGTATTAACTAATAATATCAAATATTCAGACATGATATTAACCAATAAGTTAAAAATTAATTTAAAAAAACTTAAATTTAAAAATTTTGTTGATGTTAGATCTGTCTTCTTAAATGATAAAAATTAAATGATAATAAGAGTAAAAATCACCATAATAAAACTCTTTTTATTAAATAAAACTTATTAATATCAAAATTAAATATTCAAAATTAGTATTAAACGATATATTTTGTTCTATCACTGTAATCTCATAACTCTCCCTTCTCCCAAATGAAGGATTGAAAAAAACAAATTGGACTAAAATTGAAATTTCAAAAGCTTAAAGGCTAAAGGATTGAAAAAAATTGGACTAAAATTGAAATTTCAAAAATGTAAAAGATAGAAAGATAAAGGGCTAAAGTGATTTTTTCCCATTAAGTGCCATCTATTTTCCTCCTTTTTTTTTTCACTTTGATTTCTTATCTTTCAATCTTGTCATCCCTTAACAAATCAGAAGCAGTTGACCTTCAATTTAACTATGAACGGATCAAAGTGTCCAAATACAAAATTTAATAACCAAGTCCAAAGTAAAATGTGCATGTACCATAAAACCTCCGGACGGCTTAATTTTTTATTAATTGTTCCTTTTCAGGCTAAGGTCTGTTTTTGAGATTTCAGCGCGGGTCTTGCCCCTGCTTGGAGAGAGCAGCCAAGTTAAGATCATGGAAGGGATTCCTTCCACAGAACCCGTGTTCTTTCTGATGTTGGCATTTGAGAACAGATACACAAGAGATAGAAGACTGTTTTCACCGTCTTCATGATGGTAACAAATCAAAGGTTAAACAGAAAAGGAGTGAGAAAGCAAGAGGAATCAGAGAGATCAGCCCTTCCAGAAGGTTATTCATCAGCCTTTAACAGTAGTGAAATTGGAGAAGAAAGCAGCTTTCGGGGCCAAAACGATGGAGCTTAACTAGCATCCAAGTATGAATTTGTTCATGGCTCTAACACCAAAGGCAAAGAAACATGATCCCAAATCTTAAATAAATACCTCTACAAAGATACAAGTACCACAGAGAAAAAATGAGGGGAAAAACTTGATAAATAATCTCGATGGTTTGTTCAGCAGGCATACAACATCAAATTGGATTCTCTACAAACTGACTGTCAAATACTACCTCAAACTACAGGAAATTTTCTTTTAGCAGATTTGAATTAAATAAACTGCGTATGAAAGTATCAAACAACTGATGCCTCAATCGTTTAACCCATTAAGAAATCAAATCTCCCTTTCAACAAGCTCCAATCAACTCAGTAATATACATCTAAAAAGAATCTCCGCCATCATGAGCCACGCCAGCATAGACATCTGGATTCTGGAATGTTTTTCTGGCTCTGCTTGCATGCACAACTCCAGAGTTACATACTGTTGAATCAGACAGGACTGATTGTTTTGGGGCGGGGGAGGAGGGGGGGAGGGGGGCATTAAGATTAAAGAAGCATTGCTGGCTAACGAATTGGGTGATATTGTGCTGATATTCTCTTAGGAGGCAACTTCCGCAGGATGAAGAGCACTAGAGCCGACGGTAGAATCTCAACCAGCTGTAATTTTGAGCAACATAAGTTTCATGTCAGAAATAAAAGTAAGCCATGGAATGTGGTTTGTATTACTACAAGCTTATTTACATGTATAAAAAACGTGTAACAGAATACCATGTAATAGATCAAGTTCAAAACTGGATGATCCAGAACATCAAGCGAGGCATCTGCATCAAATGCAGATAGAAGGACCTGCATGTTTGAAATTGAGTTAAATAAGGAACTGTATGGTTAAGAAAGCAGCAATGCCTCAGAAAGCACATGCTGAACCAGTATTGCCATATCACTATTGTTTTTCCCAGTCTAAAGCAAAAACTCCTTAAGATGGCAGTATTGACCACATGACTACTCCGACGAGTCAAAGAAGATGTAAATTCATGCACTACACCTTTTCAGTCATTTTTCCATGCTTATTACATGTTAGTCTCAGAATCTATTCAAGACTCACTTCTAACTACATGATTATAGCATGTATGAAATAGGTAAGATGAAGTTTCTTTAACCGCTACAGTATTTAAATTTGGTGAAGCATCTAAAAGAGCTCCTGTAGAACATAATTCAGGGTCATGTATTATAGAGGTTTACCACAAAACATCGTATAAGGAAGCAAGTGAAGCATATGGCTGTGACTGATCCAACCTGCAATGGAGCAAATATTGCATCATCATACTAATTTAAATTCAAATGATAAGTCCATGCAAGTTTTTGTGGATGGCCAGCATGTCAGCATGAAACTTCTTTGTTCTGGGATGGATAAAAAACCTGTTGTCATTTTTGGCCAATTACATTGTAGGAAGCAAGGTGTGCCGTGATAGTGTAGATTTTTAATTCCATTAGGTCAGATTTTGGGTGATATCTCTTTCACGCTTGTCAAAACCCAAAGTGTTAATAGTAATGATTTATATTTAAGCACAAAATGCACAATTCATTTTACATTATTCAAGAAAGTGCCAGTACAGTATAATGCTTTGCCCCAATTCCAATACCAAACATACACGCCCCTAGAGATCATAGACACAAATCAGATTCCATGGAGAGTTCACAAACTGAAAAAACCATTTCAATGGGAATGTCGTAAACTTGCAATCACCTAATAGATATGATTTTGACTATGCATCCAGTTATGAGAAAAGTAAGTCTTTGAAATGCGTATATAAGAAGGCTGATTTTGGATCCACCGCAGCCCTGACAATGCTGCACTTATTTCACAAGAATGATAACTAAAACCCAAACAATAACATGCAAATATCATTTATGGATAATGAAATGGTCAAGAGCCACAATGCAATTAATCCAATCATATGGATGGATTCTAAATTAAAAGCAACAGAAGGTAAGAAGGAAATGCACCAAACCTCATGAAGCTTCTTTCTTCTCCCTTTAGATTCAATAGGGAAGCGTCTGAGCATGAAAAATAATCTGGAGGGATGTACATGCCAATCGACAGGAAGAAGACACAGAAAGTAAAAGCACACAAATGAAATTACATGAGTAAATAAAACCAGACATCTCTTGATATTCTAACTACCATAATCATTAAATATGAAGTAGAATACTTGCCTTCCCCCATACACCAAGAAACCTAATGCAGCTAAGATTGACACAACTGAAAAAAGAAACAGTTATCATTAAGTACACACAATTAAGCGAAAATGGCAAGCTAGAACTTTAATATCAGAATGGGACTGCCGAACTCATCCACGTTGGATACAAGATTTAACCTGCAATAAATATCTTTCCAATTAATTCCACAGTGCTGTTGTCGTCTACCCAAAGGTACACCCAGATGCAAACCTGATTCAAAAGTTCGTTACGGTAAGACACTTCACTGAAATGTGGCATGAGTAACTAGTTCAGCGCTGTTTATGATAGCTCGCTATTGACTGCTATTGGTACAGCCAGATCAATACAAAGCATGTGCATGTACACCTTCCCACAGTAAGAG